TTTTGTACTTTTACTTGATTTTATCTAATTCAACATTTCAAATTCTTATTATAACAAGTACAAATATATTTTTTTTTTTTTTTGCAATTTCATAGATCTGTTGTACTTAAGTTTCAATATATAGTACTTAACCCCCAAAACCGTGGAAATAAATTTGTAATTGCTGTTAGATATTTTATACACTGCATTTTTAAAGATTTAAATGACTTTTCATAAAATTTTCACAAGCTCTGAATAACAGCTTTAAAGCTTTGAATAACAGTGAACAAGAAAATCGAACTGAAACTATAAAATTTACTATAATCTCGATGAGCAAGAAGCTTCATTGAAGAAACATAAAAAATAATAAATAAATAAAATCTAATTCTTATAAATAATAAATTTATCTGATAGTGAAGACCGTGAAAAATGTATCGTTTGTACATTTTTCGTATCAACTATTCCGAACGTAAAATCAAGAATAACGTCGGACGAAGCGACAGAAAAGTAAAAATCAGAAGTTTCGTTGAACAGTTTTCAAGCAACGCAATCACCGATGAAGTGCCCCGCGGTAGATTTTTTTCCTAATTGATGGCAAAAAGTACAGTCTGCTCTCCCTTGTTTCTTGAAAGGCAGGAAAGCGTGATCGCGATGCAACAACACGCGATGCTTCGTGCGCCAAACGATACAGCCCTTTGATTTCAGCTTTGCCATTCTTATCGATGCTTGATACGTGTTCCTGACATGTTTCGCACGAAACGAACTTTTCACGATTCTTGTCCATGATTTTCCAAACATCACGGTCTAATTGAAAGTTGAAATTCTCGACGTTAATTTCACCCGAGATTTCCCTCCTATCTCATCACTTTGTTCATTTTTTGGACATTTTATGTTTAGCGAGGTGAAATTTTCGTTGTCGACGTTTCAATATTTTTAACATTAACCTTGAACACTGAATAATTTTATAGTTGCAGAAAATTATACTCAATAGCGTATGAAAGTACAAGATTAAGAACGTTATTGAATGTTTTTAAATATTACGCGTAATTTCTGCTTAAAAATCCTGTGTCTAAAAAGTGTAATCCAGATTGAAGATTAAATTTTTCGAGCCAAAATTTTATTATTTATATGACATTTTTATTGAGTAATCGGTAACTTTAGTGAAATAATTCAACAAGTGGAATAACCTTAAAGGAGTCAGACGCAGGGAAATACAATCAGAATACACACTTGATTATTCGACAAGTAGAGTAAACCTTAAAAAAAGTCCACGAAATACTATTCTTACATGAACAATGAACATACGAGAAGCTTCCAATCCAATATCATCTAGTAATCGTACAAACCATCTACCAAAAAAAGATTCACAAATGAGACTGCACACTAGATTATTCGACGAGTGGAACAACCTTAACAGAGTCAGACGCTGCCAGATTCTGATTATACAAATCATCTGGGAATGAAACTAATTAATCTAAAATGAATAATTATCAAATAAAATTACAGGATTGATCACTTTCATCGATATTGAAGATAAATAATTACAGTAATACGAACGAACAAATAAACTTAAATAAATGTTTATTTCCCGATATATTTATAAATCGATGGAGAAATCGCCCGAATGAAGATCTTTAGAAACCGTGAACGTATGTATCTGTCCATGGTTGAGTGAGATGGCAGAGGGGAGGGTTGGCCGAGCGACGAGAAGGATCGCCATCGCACATAGAGTAGCAGAGAAGCCACGAAACGGAACGGAGGAACCAATTTCAGAGAAGTGGCTACCGGCTAATGGCAATTAGGGGTTGTACGAGTGGCTGGTTGCGGCAGCGCATAAGCGTGCGCTGGAATTTACGAGGCAGACCGCGCGATGGGCAACGTAATATTATGGATCGCGCTAGGTACAACTGGCCTTTTGTTTCCGGTCTCGATCGTTATTAAATTTCGTCTGAAGAACGGCCGATGAAATGCGAGCAGTAGTGGACAAACCTCGTGGGACGAGAAAGAATACGCGACGAAGATATGAAACTTTCCCCTAGTCGTTCGAAGTGATCCAAATAATGATAAAACAAACTTTGTCTCGCATACTTTTTTCATGGGATTTCAAGATCTGAGTTTCAACAGACACAACTTGCGTGGCGGTATTATGTTATTATTTACCCTCGTATGAAATCTGAATTCTTATTCTTTCAATTAACGAAGCTCAGTCATGTTCAAACAGTGTTTATCATTAGATTATAGACTGGGAATGAAATTGAATAAAATCTTTGCCTTATTTTCTTATTATATTTAATTGTTCTGAATCAAATTAATTTACCTTCAAATTAAATAAATTCCACAGTATCGGAACGCTCTCATATGCATGTGTATATGCACGAATATTTTAGTTAAATCGATAAAACGCATCAGAATTCGTCGATTCAATTCGACGAAACGTTAAAGCGATGAAACAATTATCCCAAACAGAATGTTGCAGCGGCTCGTTGCCGTCAGACATGCCTTATTCTGCGTGATTAAGGCGATCCAATATTGCATGCAATAATTGCAATCAATAGACGTTCCAAGATTTATCGTTGATGGAAATGGACAGGCGGTACATATATGCATTTACCGTGACAGATGTATACGTTCCAACCTATGAATTTCCGTAGGCAACGCACAAGCGATGACGTTAATAGGAAATTCAATATTCACTATCGTTCGTTCTGCAAAATTGCCTGATATAAGTAGCCGCCGATAATTGCAACGAAACGTTTGCACAGGTTATAAAACCTACGTGGTAACGGTCAGCTGTATGTTTAATGAAAAATAAACACCGTCGGCCTTCAGTGCTTTAATACATGCTAAAGTGGGTGATACAGATTTCAAATGGAACTTTCGATTAAGGACTGTTTAATAATTTTGGTTTTCAGACCAATAACAGAACCGTGAGTTTTGTATTTCAATTTAAAGTAATTTCAATTTTCAATTAGAAACAAATACTAGCGCGAAAATTAGAGAATCACTTTAATGCGTGACACAGACTTTTAAAATGAAATTCTTAATTGAAAAGACGTTCGTAAAATTTTTTTTTTTTTTTT